ATTTGGTATTGTGTTTTAAAATATATTGAAATGTCACATTTGTTTTGAATTATAAAATGATGGGTAGAGTTGTTGGCTGATGATGACTTGACAATGATGCTTTTTTTTTTATTAACCTGAATAACCAATCCGTTATACGAGTCGACTAATTTCAGGATGATCATTCGTTTCGCAGGTAGTCCAGAGTCTCCTCATTGAACCTCTGTGTCAACAAGAAGATTTTTATTTCTTCTTAAATTCGAACCTGAGACCTCCAGACCTTTAGAACCCAAACTCAAAACAATCAGACACCACCTTTATGATTAGAAAATGATGTTGTATCCACTATGAACGTGATTTTTTTTATTTATTTAAATAATTTCAAAACTGTAAAGACTAACAGTGTTATAATCATTTAACCACATGCATCAAATTTGTAGTTTACTATACCTTTAACTAACTTTTATTTCGATTATCTCAAAAATATAATAATATTTTATTTTTTAATGTAAAAAAAACATCTTTTTTATTAACCTAGATATTCAATCAGTTATACAAGTCGACTAATCTTAAGACAACACCTGCTTTAAGGGTTGCCCAGAATCACCGTATTTCAATAATATTTATATTTTTTGGAATATAATGAAAAAACTTTCATATTTAATTTATATTATAATAATAAATTATATTTCATAAATATTTAGTAGACATAGTTAAATATATTTATAATATTTTCTATGCAAGAGAAATAATGAGTCATAGGTATGGGAATGAGTCCCGATCCGTCGGGGAACCTGGTACACTCGCCCTGGTTGGGGATGGGGATTCCTCGCTAAATCGGGAATGGAGACGGGGATTTCCGTTTGTCTCAAACCAGGGATGGGGACGGGGACGGGTATGGTACTCCCCGCCCCACCCCGTACCCGTTATATATATTAATTAATAAATTATATATATATATATATATATATTTATACATATATATATATATATGTATGTATATTATTTATTTCAACTACATCGGTAGCTTATAGTTTCTTATTTCCTAACTATGTTCATAATCTAAGTTGTTTTTTTTATGTTAATATGTAATATTTTGAATGTCAAATCAAAATACAATTACTCGATAAGTTTTGTATATTACTCGATATGATTTTATATTACTCAATATCTTTTGGTACATGTGACTTTAAGTTTTTTTTTATTTAATTGAACTTTTTTGGTTTTAAGTTATTAGTTCTTATATGATGTTGTGGTTTTTTTTGTATTAAATTAAATTCATTTTGGTTTTAGGTTCATTGAAATTTTTTGAGATTTAAACATATATGGTCTCTCACATATTTGATTTAAAATAACTTATATAAACGGAAGAAAAAAATCTCCGTTCCCCGTTGGAGATGGGGATGTGATTATATTCCCCTGCGGGGATGGGGACGAGAACGGAAATAAAGATAAGTAGTCGGAGACGGGGACAGAGATTAAGGTCCCCACCCCATCTCCGCCCCATTCCCATGCCTAATGAGTCATCCTATGGAAAAATTTATCATCATATAATTAATCACTTAGGTTATTATTGTTTGACAAAAAATTTAAATATAAGTCATTTTTATATAATATATATTATTGTGATAACATTAACTTCCAAATGTTTGTTAGAAAATGTTTTAAAATATGATTGGATTCATATGGAACTTAACAAATACAAATGGTTTAGTATAAAAAGATACTCATACAATGTAACGAGATATATTTTGATTTTAATGTATAGTTTTATTCATTGTCTCTTTCGATTTACGATACAATTTTATATGGTTTTGAGAAACGATAATGTTTTTATTTTCAAATAAAATATCTATTTAAAAATATCATAAAAGTTTGAAAAAGATGTATCGATTGATGGATGATACGACAGTCGAATCCCAACACTAAAAATTGCAATCATGACCCTAGAACTTGATAAGCATCGATATGAACACGAAATGGTCCTTTAATGCACCAATAACCGAAAGGGATATTGATATTTTAGGGTTAGCAACTAACCATTTTAGAATTTTTGAAACTGTACCGGAATAATTCATATAATCATCCACATATCATTCAATAATTGAGTTTAACTGATAGATGGCGTCGTGCCTGTGTTAATGGGTGTATTCAATAAGTAGTCACCTGGGATTAGGGGTTTTTTTTTAATTTTTGATTAACCTGGATATCCAACCCGCTATGCGAGCCGACTAATTCCAGAGCGACCACCTGCTTTGCAAATAGCCCGGAGTCACCGCATCTGAACCTGCGTGGCCGCAAGGGGATTTTTATTCTTCCTTGGATTTGAACCTGAGACCTTCTAGTACTTTTAACCTTTGGAGTCAAGCTCAAACCATGAGATTAGGGTTTTGTCGTAGGGGTTGTCAGTTACCAAGAAGGGTGGGATGGTTTTTAATATAAAAAAGCAACAAAATGATCGAAATTTCTCTCAACTAACAACACTCTAACTAATAGAACCAGTGTCAAGCTAGAACCGTTTTCAAAGTAAAATACAAACAACAATGATGAATTCTAGACTTATTAAAAACCAGATATAACTTTCAGATATTTCATCAAACCCTGAGGACCAAAATTCTTGTTTACCCAAAAAATTAAATTAATTTTGAATTAATCTTTTTCTAAAAAAAATGGTAGATCCATTCAAAACTCTATACATAACATGTACTACAACTTCAAAACATTAAAAACACATGATATCCTCTTATATTAATTGAGATTCACAACTCATCACAGCTGCATTGTTTTGGTTCTATTTGCACATGTATCTTATATATAACTTTCTATTATAAAAAATATTCACCAAATCTGATTTATGTCGATAATTACTGAGTTCGTTTAACCTGTACAACTTAGGATTAGAAAGTAAGAAGATCTGATTTTTTTAACACTGGTGTTAACTAATCTTGAACCATAAGGGTGGTGCCTGATTGGTTTGAGTTTGGTTCTAAAGGTCAAAAGTACCAGGAGGTCTCAGGTTCAAATCCAAGTACGAATAAAAATCTTCTTCTGTCCACGGAGGTTCAAATGCGGTGACTCTGGGCTATCTGCAAAGCAGGTGGTCACCTTGGGATTAGTCGGCTCGCGTAGCGGGTTGGATATCCAGGTTAATAAAAAAATGTATTTTTGTTCATTTTTTTTAATTAGTTAAAAATTTAATATATAATTTAAAAGTTTTGAAACTAAATATTAAATTAAGTACGTGTTGACTTGACTTAATAATAATTAGAAGGTTAAATTAATAGATGCCAACAAACGATCTAACTTACTGAAACTAATTACACAACCAATTATTATGGTTAAACATAACTATAATAGTATCCGCGCAATGCAGCGAGACATATCTCGATTTTAATATTTTATTTTATTATTTGTTTTTGTCGATGTTATAATACGATTTTATGTGTTTTTAAGAAAACAATAATGATTTTATTTTTAAATAAAATATAAATTTGAAGATATCACAAAATTTAAAATATATATATATATATATATATATATCAATGTTAATATCAAAT